TCAGCACCGAGGCCAGGGGGAGGAAGTCATGAACCAGGAGCCAGGAGTGTCACCTCTGTCACCTCCGTGCAGCCGGTGGGGACAGGGGTGGGGGGGCTTGTTTTTGTTTTGTGTTGTCCAAGGAGCCTGAGCAACAGGGCTGGGGATTTCAGGAGAGCTAGCTGAGCACCTGCTGCTCTCAGTCAGGCTAACAAACAGCGGCCACAGAGCAACTCACAGGAGGAGGAGGAGACCCAACCCGAAAACTGAAACTTGTTTTGAGAAGAAACAGGGACATAAATGCGTGGGATGGCCTGGTGTCTGCTGATGCTGATAAAGCCACCCTGCTGCCTCCAGGCAGCATGACAGCATGGCTCTTTGGGGAGTCTCTGAGATCGGGGCCTGTGGCTCCACTCACCTTGGGAACAGGCACTGCAGCTGATGGCAGGGAGGTGGGTCTCTGTCTCTGTTCACCAGCAGGCAGGACAGTCCCTCCTCAGGTCTGCCCTGGAGGCTGGTGCCTCTCTGCCACCAGCCACACTGGACAGCTGCCTGGAGCTCCCTGAACAGGGGCTCTGGGCCCCCGGCAGGAGCCGCAGAAGTCTGCAGTGAGCAACCAGAGGCACTGTCCCGGCACCAGCAAACCAGGCACCTGAGACCCTGACACACTGGGGCTGCTGGGGAGGTGACGGGGCCTGACGTATGGAGGCTCCCCTGCTTGGGATGAACCCAAGGACTGGAATCCAAACGAGCTCAACCCGGAAAGCAGCGTCCAGGGGGCGTGAAACCACTCCCCACCAGAAGGACAGGGGACACCAAAATGTGGCCCTACGTCAGACGTGAGCATACCAACCGAGGGGCACAGCCAGGCTCCCTCCTCACATGGCCTCTGTGGACCCCGAGGGAGCAGGGGACAGTGGATGAACAGAGGAGTTGCCGCCTTCGGAGCCTGAGGACACTGGCTATCCGCTTCCTCCTGGGAAAACACGTGCCATCCCTGGCCCTGAGGGACATGGCTGTGTGGGACCATTCACAAATTGTACTAAAAAAGAAAYGCCTCTTCTAGCCAGACACACAGTGATGCATGCCCGCAATCCTGGCCACTTGGGAGGCTGAGGCAAGAGAAGCTCAAGTTGGAGGCCAGCCTTAGCAACTTAGTGAGACACTATCTCAAAATCTAATTTTTTTTTTTAATACTAGGAATATAGCTGAAGGACTGGGGTACAGCTCAGCGGTCAAGAGCCCATGAGTTCGACATCCAGCACACTCAGAGAAAAGGTCTCTTCTGATCTTGTGACACAATGGTATTCTACTGGGCCACAACCCCTCTCTAAATAGAAGGTCAGAAATATGTGGATATTTAAAATCACGCCTCCTTTAAAACACACTTGGGTAGATGAGGAGAGCTAATATCTTAGAGCTGACGGGGCAGGCAGGACACTCCACATGACATGCCCCTGAGTTCCAGCAGCCGTCCTGCCATGGCCTGTTGCACGCATGGAGGCCGAGGCTCAGGCCGCTGACCCACACTCTGCGAGGAGCGCGCGGCTTGCTGCTTCACTGCGTGTCTCTACACCCACTGCTTTCAGGAGAAGGCCAATGTTAAAAATCCATAGAACACATAAAGCAGGGTCCATACCCCAGCTACGCTGCCGTGTGGAGATCTTGCCTCCGCCTCTCCCAGGCTGTGTGACCTTACATAAACCACCTAACTCCTCTGTGCCTTGGTGTCCTGCACACTGGGAAGAACGCTGCTGTCTTACCACAGTCAGGGCTGTGAGGACCAAATGAGTTGACATTTGTGAAGGGCTTGGCACTGTCCCTGTGGTGCAGTGTCACTGAACCACAAAGTAATGCTAGAGTATGTAAAATGGGGGGGGGGGGGGTAAGAAACATCTAGGCAGCGGCACCTTCATGGAGGTGAGAGCAGCAGGCGCTCCGTTGAGAACACCCGGAGAGTCTGAGCACTGCCTGCGTCGAGCTGCCCAGGCCTCCGAGCTCACTGCTGGGAGGGAAAAAGGCAAACCAAAGGAGGGGAGACCCGTGGAGACCCTCCCGCAATCGCCCACCCGCATCCCTGCAGGCAGGCTTCCACCGCCACTCACTGGTATCGGGCCCAGACGTCGCCCCTCACAGAAGCCACAGGGTTTCTACTTGAGCCACGGGATCTGGCCCCACCCTGCAGCCCTTTGCAGGGGAAGAGAAAGCCGGTCTCACTACCAGGCAGGGCACAGCTGCAGGAGAGGCGCATCTGCAAGGCACGCAGTCTCCCTGGCACTGAGCAATTGCCTGAGGTCTGAAGGCTCTGAATCTCGGGGCATTCAGACCATGCTCTGGAGGGGCTGAGACCAGCCATGTGTAACTAAGGGAGGCACCGAGACACGGTGCCTGCTACAGGGTTCTGCCTGCTCGCAGCAGCTCTGCCCTTCCCAGTGTGCCACACTGGTCTTAGCTTTCTGGAGCAGAGTCTCTGGTCCCTGGTCCCCTGCAGGCTCCCTAGGGTGAGCTGCTCCCTCTGCTCTGGAGGCACAAGCCTGGGTACCACACCTCGATTGGCTCAAACCTAGAACACATGACTCGTTCTGGACCAATGGCAGCCTGTGTTCTTCAGCTCCACTTGGAAAGGGTCCAAGAGTGAAGGGAACACAGAGCAAATAGAAAAATCAATACTCTAACAGCCCTCTAAAGCATCTGGATCCAGCCGCTCCTGAAGCGAGCAGCACTACTGGACTCCCTCGCTTACAGGAGCCAGTTATCATCCCCACCTTGTAGGTCTGGTTTTCCTTAAGACAACTCAAGTTAGGTTTGTACAACTGGCAAACTAGTCTATTCTGGAAAACACAAGTCCACAAATAAGCACCAGGACACAGCCTAGCAGCCATGGCCAGCTGATAGTGGGCACTGCAACCACACTGAGCCAACAGGGCTGAGAACCTGCCATGCGAGACCAGGATAAGTGATTGACAGGTGGTCTCCAAGGCAAGACGGAGACCCCCAACGTCCCCAGAGGCAACAGGGACTTTCTCTCACAGGAATCAAGTGCAGGCCCTGTTCCAATTACCCAGAGAAGCTTCCCTTTAGTACTAGAGCAGGTCTGAATGGCTGTGCCCTCCCTCCCTCTGTGGTCTCTCCCCACATCGGAATCTAGCTATCATCTTATACATCCACAGACACATACCTCCTATCTACAGATAGGCATCTCACGAGTATCTGCACCTACATATCTTAATTGTCAGCTTGTGCAGTGGAGCATCTGGGCATTGCCAGGGCTAAATGTCTCCAACCAGTGACCCTGGAGCCTGGCATCCCCCCTTCTGGCTCTATGGTGGATCCAGGTCATGCAGCGATCCTTCAGCCCTTGGGACTTTGCAACAGTCAGTCATAAGGGGCATCAGGGAGATGTTCACCTGGGGTTAGTGCAGAGGAAGGACTTAGAACTCGGAAGGCTCTTCTGCCCAGTTCTTTCCTCTCCTTAGATAAATATAATTAGGCAAATGATCGGGAGTTAGCAAAACAAAGATCTCATAATGATTGATTTATACAAGAAACAGAGCAGAGTATCCCCAATCTGAATGACAGTGACTGGTTTAAACAGAGCATCACAGCTCTCGATATTTAACGGCCATTTTGGTCTCTTTTTCCCCCACTAAAAATATTGGTTATTATTGCCTGAGGTCATGCATAGGCTGGGTCCATTTGGACACCATTACACAGCACAGAGTATCATCTGATCCAACTCAGTCCTCACCCTTTGCCCTCTCCTTCCCCTCTCCCCTTCCCTACTCTAGTGGTTCTCCTTCTATTTATTTATACGTTTTAAAATTTGTGCTTTATAGATATGTGCACAACTCTCTAAAAGTGATTTTAGCACTTAAGTTTTCAATAACCACATGATGCTCTTGACGTGGAGGGGTCGAGCTGGGAGGCTATGAAGACGACTCAGAGGTTCTGTGCATTCATCAAAAGACTGCCTGCCTTCACCAAAGTGGCTCCCAGTGGCACTGGGTGTGCCTCTGAGGGGCTTTATTGCAGTATTTGTATCCAGGTCCCAGGTCCGTAGAGATAGACAGGGAGACTGTCCTCACCCCGTAGAGGCCACACCAATGGGCCCGCCTGTTTTCTTGGAGCTCACATGTGGGAGAAACGCCGTCAGAGAAAGGATGGCCCCCCAACCCCCCTCTACGTCTGTAAGCTGCCGTGCATGCACAGAGGGGGAGCAGCACAGGTGCCTCTGCCTGTGACAGAGCCACAAGTGTCCTGGTGCACGCGAGGACATCGCCACGTGACGGACACTGCACCCACACGGCCTTCAGCCTGCAGGTCAGTGGTGCTGTTCTGTGAGGTCAACAAGCAGGGCAGGCCTGTGGCTCAGACCAACACGGAACGACCTTCTAGAGGCGCCCAGGTGCAGAGAGCAGCCTTCCGCTGGGCCAAGACGCACCCACGGCTTCCCAACAGATCTGATGGAGCTCGTGGGAGTGAGCTGCAGAAGGGGGTCTTTGGGCATCCTCCCTGCAAGCCCCAGGAGATGAAAAATGGTCAACAGCAACATCGTTTAAAGGTAAGGGGCAGGTCAGCAGCACTCCCGACCTTACAGGGTCCTCTGCCTTACAGCAAAGAAGGGCCCAGTCGCAGCGGACCAGCAGGGACACCAGCTTTGTCAAGCTAGCGTGTATGCCAGATATGACCAGCACATACGACTTAAATAAAAAGTGGAAACTAAAACATGGCAGATTAACAAACAACAACAAAAAAATTCACTGACACTCTGAGAAATAGCTAAAGTCAGGCTCTTAGCAAGGGTCTCGCTGCCCTTGCCACATCTCCATCGATTTCATCCACCCGCGCTTGGATTCTGTCACTGCTCCTGGGACCGTACGAGGGGCACATGAGCTTAGGGACCACTCTTGAACGGTGGCGGTGGCATGGAGCCCCAGGTCAGCAAACCCGCGATAAGCCAAAGCGCAAGCATGGGCAGTGACGGCCACAGAAAGCCCAGCACAGAAAAGAACGTCTCTTACTTCAGGAACGACGGGAAGTCTTCACACACGGCCTCGCAGCCCGGCCACTTGCACACGCCGTGTCCGTACAGAGGATGGCTGTGGGGGTGCTCTTCGTGGGACAGGCTGAAAGGGAAGCACAAGGACAGTGTGACTGTGCTGCGAGGAATGTCCTGCAGGAGAGGACATCAAGGGCCAGAAACCCACACCCCGGGCGGACGTGACGGGCCTCTCTTTTCCCCTGGAAGCTACTAATTCCACCTTGGTTTTTGAAAGCAACACGGAAGCTACCAGGGTCGGAACAACACACTCCATACCCCTTTAGACACAATCTCCGACACACTAGGCACCCTTATGGGTGGCGCGTGGCTGTGTCCCACAGGCCCCTGGTGGAAGGCAAAGCCCTCCCTGGGGGCGGAGGCTTCTCCACAAGCCGCAGCTCTCCAGCCCGCGTGATTCTGACAGCCTCTCGCTATGTCTCCAACCCACAGTAGGACAGTTTTCTTCCTTTCTTCTCCTGAAACTGCTTTCACATATTTTTTCACACATAATCTTACTCAGCAAAGTAAAGTACAAGTTAATGATTCACAAAAGTTAGCAAGAACAATCCATCCAAATACACGATCAGGTTTCAGAAAATAACCTGGCCGCTCCAGGAAGACCACACTGCTGCCGTTCCCGCCCCAGGCGAGGGTGAGCAGGAAGGGGTTAAGGCTCCAGTGGGGCTCCAATCGATGCGTAATGATTTGGCCACCGGATCCAAGTCACGGGGTGCTTTGATCGGAGCCATGTGGTGCTTGGGGAGGGGGGTCTGTCGCACTCCACGATGAACCGTCTACTCCAATATTTTCTCCTAGGTCTCTGCATCCAGACTTCTTTCAGACAAATTATTTTTACAGTCGTTTCCATAACCTGAGATTCCATCAAACAGAAATGTAAAACTAACAGTGAGAGCCTCCTTCCCACCAGAGCACGCTCCCTCCATGGGGATGGCGGCTGGGAACTCCTGGGCTGCCTTCCCTGACTTTGAACTTCAAGCACTGAGAATTACGATCTCCCTCCCTCTCCCTCTCCCTCTCCCTCTCCCTCTCTCTCTCTCTCACTCTCTCACTCTCTCTCTCTCTCACACACACACACACACACTCTGGCCTGTGTTTTATGTTACCGTCAGGATGTGTATTCATATCTGTTATCGATCCACATCCTCAGAGCTCGGGTACACAACTGCCACTTGTCCCTGACTTCTGAGGCAATTAATTCACAGTGAGAGTGCAGGGAGCCCTTAGAACAAGGAGCATTCACAGTTAACACACAGGCACACAGAGCGGCACCTCAGCAAGGGCGATCAGGTCCCTCTAACGGCTTCTCAATGATTCTCTGGGAAATCGAAGATAATTTGGAAAGAAGGATGAACTCTTTTGCCCTAAATTAGAAAGCATAGAACCAGAAGCAAAACTAAACAGAAAAATGGCATGTACAAGTCCAGGAAGGTGACCCCTTACGAGAACAGCCCGGGACCGGGGCACTCAGGTAGCACTGTGTGACAGAGCCCCTGGAAACATATTTGAGAAGCAGTCAGGCGGGTGGAGCTGCAGAGAGAGCCGCAGCGCCTGTTGATGCTCAGTGCCAGGCTGGTGCATGAATAGAACAGGATATAAAGCTGAATTTAAAACAGTTACCGAAAATACTAGAAATGAAGGAAAACGTCAACAGTCCTAGAATTCTCACTATTATAAGAAAATCATTAACAAAACAAAACAAAAAAACCCAAAATGTGTTTCTATCATAGTTTAAGATAAAAAGAAAAGCTCCAATCCTTAGTATTTTCCTCACCAACTTTACTAAGACTTCATGTATTTATTCTTACCATACTAGGGGTTGAACCCAGGGCCTCGTGCATGCTAGGCAAGCACTCTACCACGGAGCTAGACCCCCAGCCCTTTACTAACACTTTTTAAGTATTCTCATACTTTTTATAAGAGCTAATATATTCATTGGGCAAAATTGGGAAAAGACTAAAAAGAAAAAAAACTACCCTATAACACACACATGCTTTCCATACATATTTGCGTGGAGAATTACATTATTCTTTTCCATTTGACATAATTTTGCAACTAACTTCTCATGTTATTAACCAGTCTTGGAAAATGCTCTTAGTGATGGGTGAGAGTCCACCACCTTAGCTTCAGCTGAGAGCTCAAACTATGCAGTCGATCCTCCTGTCTCAGACGGTGCAGATCCCTCGTGATCCTTCAATCTGAGTGTGTCACTAGAAACAACCTGCACCGGGCCACCCACGCCAGCGCACAACCACTTCCACCAGGAGACCCGCTGGGGGAGCCGAACGTCCATTAAGGAGGGCTGCGATTCAGAACCCAGGGCGAGTGCCCGAGGCCGTGGTCCTCAGCAGCCCCACAGCAGTGCTTTGTGGGATTCTTCAACTCGGAAGCCAGGAGCCTAGTGGGAACCGCAGGGACCAGCACCAGCTAAGGATGGCTAAGGGCCACACAGTTGCACCTCCTGGGCGAGGTGGGACGTGTGCCGAGAAAGACAGGAAGGGCAGTAATGCATTCCTGGGAGATATACCCTGGGCATGTCCTGCTTTTGGGGCAAATTATTTTTGGTGTTGGGGATGGAAGCCAGGGTGCTTGACCACTGAGTACATCTCCAGCCCTTATAATTCTTTTTTCATTTTTTTGAGACAGGATTGACTTAATCTTTGTTGTTGCAATGCTTTAATAAAAAAAAAAATAAGTCGTTGGGTTCTCTGTGGCAAAACCAGGCACATATGGATGGTTGATTTATTCGTCTAAAGGCTCCAAGGCCCCAATAAAAACTACTCTCCTCTAGGAATTTCCGTCTAGTTCCACTTGGTGTCATTACCTCAAAGGACAGAGGAGAACCCACCAGGACCGTGCAAGGACAGCCAGGGACATCCAAAGTCGAAAGAAACTCAGCCCCCTGCCACGCGAGACCCCACTGACTCAGGAGGCCTCGTGCATGACGGCCGTTGTGCTGGCGCATCTGTATTCTCCAAAGCCCACACGGTGCCCAGCTGCTGAAGACAGTGCCCCTGCCCACCCAGCCCTCACCTCCCCATGAAGCCTCGGCGCCAACATCCGGCTGTCCACTCTGCCTCTCTTCCAACCAACCGTTACCAGCAGAAAGGGAAACACCACGCGCACTGCTGACACTTCCTTTTCAGACAGACGTAAGTGTCACCGAGCTCTTTCAAATACCTGTGACTGAGATGAAGCACGACTGGAGCATGTCTTTGGGAGGAGAGAGGAGGCTGGCAGGGCCCCCCAGGGGCATCCCTGGAAAGACGGGGCCACACCAGACGTGGTGGCCTCTTGGGGCTGGAGGCTGACTGTTCACCGTGTCCCGATTTGTGCCTTCTCAAGTTTCTATTCTGTGCTTTAAAGGAAAGTTTTGCCATGTAAGTGTTAGCTTCTTACACACCCGTGTGGGCACAGTGGAGAAGACTTGCGTGCCGGGCAGGACCTGACCTCAGCCCGCCAAGGGCTGTGCAGAGGTGCTGGGGAAGCCTCCCAGGCTGCAGGGGGGCTGGACGCGACCACAGGGCACTCTGGATGGGCGCTTTCATGTCTCCTCTAGGAGGAGGAACAAGCCTCGGTGTTCTCACTGCCTCGTGGCTCAGAAGGGACAAGGAGAGACATAGAAACTGAAGACACCAAGGTCTCTAACTCAAATGGATCAGAACTCCTTGCACAGGACAAGCCACGGTGGCCACTGACAACTCCTGCACTGAGGGGAGCGGGTCTGGAGCCTCGGCTGATCGTCAGCTGGGCTCTGGCTCCCGGGCTGCTCGCTCCAGCACACGGGGAGGCCCGCTTGGCTCTGAAGGGATCTGGTCACGCCCGCCCCAAAGGTGAACTCTAAAACATCAAGGGCCAATGACTTAGTAATGTGATTTTTTTTTTTTCCAGGTGACTCCTAGGGTGGATATTCCTAGATGTAAAGATCACTGTCCATCTCCGTGGACTCAGCACCTCACACAGAGCACAGGCTTGATGGGCGTCGGGAAGATTCGTGAAGACAGACAACGAATACATCGTTCTGTTTAATTTCTGTGCTAACGTGTTCTCAATTAGTGCTTGCTGATTTTTTTTTTAATTTCATACACAAAGATCAGAATTATGTAAAGCTACAGAAGAGACCAGACACTTCCTATTATCTATCTGGACCTTATGAAATAGATGTAGTGCGTTCAAGAAAAAGCAGTTGACTTGAGTTTTCTTGATCATCCTTGATCTGTGGAGTCAACGTGATCTTAACACAAGGAGAGCGACAGTGTTCCCATGAGAAGATCCAGTTGGCCCCAGGAGGCAGGACTCCACATCAGCACGCCGACGCCACCAACGCGGTGGGTGCACAGTGTTACCCTCGAGGACACCTTCTGTTTACTCTCCACACAGTAGCACCGGCCAGAGCCCTCCCTCCAGCACTGGCCTGGGCCTCATAGATCTTCCAGAACAAGGGTGGTTCCACCTGGTCGGCTCAATTGCTGCCCGCCCAAGTCTTCTCCCTAACCAAATCTTCCAACCAGAATCGTTAAGTCAACCCGGGCAACTTCTCACGTCTGGGGATAGATGTCTCTAGTGACACTCAAAGTCCTATAAGATATATCCCCCCCGAGTGCCCAAGGGAAGAGTAACCTTTGAAGGACACAGAAAATCTAGACCTGGCCGTAGCCCGAGACATTTCTGCCAACTTGAATGCCAATGTCCCTTCACCTGAAGCCACATCCTAAGCTCTTCCGTGAATGTCCCATGACCCCAGGCCTGTCTTCAAATCTCCCCCTAATTTGTCTTCTACTCTTTCCAAATTTGCCTATTTTCTTCCTTATTACATGTCTGATTCACCTGTGGCAGAAGGTGACATACTGGGCCCAGTACTGAGGCCCAACCAGAATCAGGAGCTGTGCTTCCGGACAAATCAAGTCACGGAACAATCGCTCAAAGTTGCAGGACCCTCTGTTCCTCCTTTAAGTCCCACTGAATTATACTTCATATACCACACAGTCCACACACCCCGAAGGGTCTCCTTCAACGGTTTCGAGTATGTTCCTCGAGTCGTGTGACCATCGTCACAACCTAATGTGA